AAAGTGATATTGCAAAACTGTGTGCAATCCCTAATCGGGGTGATAAAATAAGATGGTGTCACCTTGTACATGTCATCTAGACCAAGTGTAAATACAATGTTCAGTGCACTCAATCAACATGACGTTGTGCCATTTAGCAGAGAAGGGAATGGGGCCAAAGTGGGGAAAAGCAGAGAAAAAGTCACATTTGCAAGAGTGAGGGGAGAGGGGGAAAAAAAAAAAAAAAAAAAAAAAAAAAAAAGGAAGACACACAGCTTGCCCACACTGTCCAATAGAGTTTGGATACAAGTGTTATAATACTGGAAGAGTTTCAAAAAAAAATCAAAACTTTTTGGTGTTCAAGGATAAGAAACTCAAACCTTTCCAACTATGGGTAGTTCCACAGATCCCCAGGTGTCTGCTCCCCAGTGAAATAATCCTGATAGAAAGTCAGCTGTAATGACTCCTGCAACTGGAATGGAAAAAGACAGACAGTCAGATATACGAAATCATTTTTACTGCAGGATCCACATCTTCACAATTTGAAATACAAGTTTGCCTGTTTACACTGGTGATCCTTCATGCTAGTTTGGATATACTGCTAAATGAAGCCTGTTGCAAGATTTTACAAGTGCAAATACTTTTCTAGCTGCCAACTACAAGTACTTTCATACTGCAGTCAAGTAAAAGCCGTTTTCCTCCAAGAGAGTTTAAGATGCTGTTTAAGTGTGTGAGCACTGCCAGGCTCTTTCATCTTGAGGAGGAAAATTCAGAAGAGATTGGCCCAGAAGCTCCCTTCTTACAGGGAAAACTTGGAGAAAACCGGCATGACTGCAGCAACACAGCAGAGAGACTGCCCTAGAGCCTGCACTTGAAGCCTTTAAAGCAGGGGTTACCTAGGTTAGATTTGCTGCAGAATGAACCAGATTAAGAATCGGGATCCTCTTGCACCGTCCTGCTGCCCCATCAGGTTGACACAGAGATTGCTGGTCGGTTATTCAGGATCAGGCGTGCGGCTCCCTCGGAGCTCCCAAAGGGAGGCCCATGGACGCTCCACCCCTCCTACCTGCCCTTCCTTTCCAAACGGCTCAGCAGAACCACGACCCACATCTCTAGAAAGCTACTACTAGGCAAACACGCTATACCTGGGAATTCGTGCGATCCAGCTTCGGTGCCGCTCCCTTAAAGTCATATACAAAATTCCTGCCAACTAAAACATCCTACCCTGACCCTGCAGGCTGCAGCTGAACGAGTCACGGCGCTAGAAACGCAGGAGGACGCGCACCGAGCGCGTGTCTCGGAGCAGCCCGGCTGCAAGGCCTCCCGCTGCGGGCGCTCCGCGGGCCGGACGCGGTCCCGGCTGCCGGCGCGTCCCGCGGCTCCGAGAAGCTCCTCGAGTGCCCACGGGAAGCAGGGAACCAGGCACAGCGTCAGGAGCGCAGCTCCCCCGGCTGCTGTTTACACAAGCAGGTTGTTTACAGAAGTAGCCCATTGTAGCACAGTGTTTGCACCGGGAGCAGCAGGGAGTTACAAAACCAGAAGTGATGCAGGAAATTCGTTTTTGCTTTCACTGCCTCACCAGCTCCCCGCGCTAGCGGAACCCCAGCTTTTCCTTGGCTTTTCCTTTTCCTCCTGCACTAGCAGTGCTCATTGCTCCACCTGCCTGAACACTTCCTTCAATACTGATCTCTGCCTGCCAGAAGTTAGGCAAGACGGTTCCTCCTCACTTAAAATCCAAGCCCAAAGTTAATACTGCTGTTAAAATCGTTCATCTTGCTTTGGCTTCAAGGCGTTTTGTTACTTCCTCCCCTCTCTCACAACCACAAAATCCGAGAGGCAGCAGAAAGCAAGAGAGTGAGTCTTTCCCCACAAATCCTCCTGCTGTTATTCACCCTGCTCATGACCTTGGCTTTGGCTGATGTGTCAACCTTCCTGCTCCAGTCAATGCCCAGGTCAGCTGCCCACAGAACCCAGTTTAGCAAAATTTTCTTAACATTAGCAGGATTGTTAAGACTTCGTATCTTCTGGAAAGTAACAGAGGACCAGGTTGTTTTGTTAATATTGAACAAGTGATCCTCATAGCACTGCAACTACCTACAACACATGCAGCATAACATTTTTGATTGACTTCTCATGAGGTTCTTTTTGCTTGACTAATCCCTTCTACATTCCTTCCTCCCCTTGTTTTCAGAAAAATGAGAAGAAAAAAAGTCAAGATTATTTATGGCCCTTTTTACCCTAAAATACTTTCAGGATATAAAAGTCAATCAAACTCCCAAATCCATCACCTAATTAGAATAAAATCTTCCATACAGTATTAGACTCTTCAAGCTGTGTGTATTGCTGAGAAGGCAGCCACACTATTGATCACCTCTTTTGGGTTTATGGTGCTGCAGACAAGTCTCACTCTATAAGCAGTGAGCTCTGCTCTGCTCGCGTGAGCAGCGTGCGCCCGCGTTGTTCCAGGGCACACATGCCAGCCACAGGCACAGACAAAAGCTTCTGGAGTTGCACTAAGCAGGTGAGAGCGCCAACAGTCTGGCATTACGGGAAGATATCTAAACAAAACTTCACTTTACAGCAGCTCAAACACC